AAAGAATGGTGGCGGGGTTGGGGTTGGGTGGTGGTGTTTTGGGGTAGGGTAACCCAGAATGGCTTGACACGGGTAGGTCAGCATCCCAGAACGGCTTGACACGTGTAGGTCAGCATCCCAGAATGGCTTGACACGGGTAGGTCGGCACCCCAGAATGGCCGTACCGGGTAGGTCGGGCACCCCAGAATTGCCCGGCAGTATGTAGGCTGTGTGATTGTATGGTATGTGGTACGATGGGGGAACTCACTAAGCTTCGTGCTTACAGTTTTCAGTTTTGTTTCAGGTACCTCTTCAGCGAAGGGGAAGGAGCCGGCGCGGTAGCTGCACATCATACATACGCATTGGATTTCCGCACTATGAGATTTCTTGGGATTGTACTCTGACATTCTTACTAATTTTATGATACGATTTCAGACATGAGATTATGGTTTTACGAAATGATATAACTTGATGATGTTTTCTTATAAATGTTTTCTAAATCGTTATATAAAAATTGAAATTTTTGGACTCGAAATTTGGGATGTTTCACTATTAATTTCGTGAATGATTGTTAGAGGCTGAATTATCGGTGCTGATTCGGATGGTTTAGGTTTGTGTGCTTTAAAGGGGCTAATATGTAGTAATTTAATGAATCAGATGACTGAATCATTAAGAATCGTTAGTAAACCAATTATACAATTAGAAAAATGGGCCTAAACTTGAGGTTTGAAGATTTTAAATTGTCATTCTCATTCCTCATTGAAATGGTTTTACTGAAGAAGTTTCTTTGCACCATTACCATCTATTTTGCTATTTGTATCAATTTTAAGGCCTAAACTGTCACACATGGTGTTTTTTGACATATGGGTTGAGTTGAAACATTTTAATTTGATCGTTAAAGGCGTATAGACATTATAAACTTGCAAGAAACTAAAAATCCCTTCGTTTTGAAAAAAAAAACTTCGCAACTCGATCGCCTATCTCAACATACAGTTTCTTATAAATTAGTTGTATGATGTTGTTATGGGATAAAAAGGAAAGTATGATGTTGTTTGTGCTAAAAACACAAGTGTGATGCCATTATGTGTTGAAAATGAAAGTATTATGTTATTATGGGAAAAACAAAAGTATGATGCTATTATGGAATGATAACAAAAGTATGATGTTATTATGAGATAAAACGAAAGTTTGATGCTATTATGTTAGTTCTAATACTAGATGTCACTTTCTCCTTGATTTTGACACATGTATTTATATAAAAATATTACTTTAAAAAACACTTAATGCTTACACCTTCTAATTTTTTTTAATCAATCCGTGTAATACACTGGTTTCACACCTAGTATATATATATATATATATATATATATATATATATATATATATATATATATATATATATATATATATATATCGGTTTCTACTTTCAAAGAGCATGGATATTAGACTAAAGGGTATCACACCATCCGCAAAGGATGACATCTAGATTTTAAAATTTTACCTATGAAATTTTGAGAGAGAGTCGTTTGCCTCATATTTATCACCTGTGAAATAATGTGGTCGGTATAATACTCGGTGAAAAGTGTTCTTTTAACTATTTGGTATGTTTGATTTTTTCAATCATTTTATCTTTGTGAAAGTGTTGAGTCGTCTTTTAATCAAAATTTATTTTTCAAATAAAATGCAATAATTGGGTCGATTACAATTATGAATAATTTCATACCACAATAACCACTACAAGAAACCATGCCTTTAGCAGCGAAACAATTACCGGCGACATAAGGTTTTAGCGGCGACTCTACCGTTTGTCGCCGGTAAAACTCTCTGTCGCCGGTAATTGTGTCGCCGCTAAAGGTATTCCATCCGAATCCGCGTTATCCCCTTCTGATACACCTCAGCCGTTCGATCGAGTATCTCATCCAACGGTTGGGGTGTCTTATCCGCACATACCCAATACCGGCGACACTTTGTCGCCGCTAAAAATAGAAAATGTCGCCGTTAATAGTGGTCTAAAAAAAGACGCGGTACCCTTCCCTCCGAATAGTCGCCGTTATTAACCTTTGTCGCCGCTAAAAGCCAAATAGTCGCCGCTAAAGGCTATCGCAGATTTAAGGCACAAAAACGGACACATTCTGTTCTTTTGCTTCCTCTCTTCCATCAAACGTTTTGATGCTTCTTCTTCCCCCATTCTTTGCGTTGTTCCCGTCGATTTCAACATAAAATCTCACCACATTGTGAGATTAGGGATCAAAGGTGTTTAGGGGCTTCAATTAAATGGGTTAACTCACGATTTCTACCTCTATCTCGGGAAAAAAAAGGTAACTCTAAGTTGTTATATTTCATTGTCTTTCACTTTTAACTTCGATTTCTAGCTCCATTTGATGATTGATTGTAAATTATTTTTCAATTTCATTGTTTTTGGTAGTTTTGTATTTGGGTTGGTGAGGGTATTTCCGGGTGAAGAACAATTTTTCCGACGACATATTCGTTGATTTCCGCCACTACAGGTTCTATTTACTTCAATTCCTTGTAAAATTTGAGTTTAATTGCAAGCTATGTGTAGTTGTATCAATTATGTGAAAATTGTCATATGTATCTATATATGTGAAATTATATGTATTTGGTGTGTGTACTTTGATAGTTTTTGTTTATGTTTGATAATTTAACTTATAAGTTTATATATGTTGTTATTAATTATGTAGTTGGAAAATCTTCGTGCAATGCTCAACAACCCGGCATGTAGGGATGAACTTTATTCGTTTTTTCAATCCCAAAATAATTGAGGAAAACGATGGAAATGAAGATGATGATATGTAGAGATGAGTTTTATTTGCATATTACACTTGTTGTCACGCTTTGTTACTTGTTAGAATGTAAATTTTTTGGTTGTTTTCTGTAATTACCGGCGACACTATTATCGGCGATATTATTACTTTTTATATTTAATAAGATGTTATGTAATTACCGGGCGACACTATTACCGGCGACATTATTACTTTTTATATTTAATCGGATGTGCGTGTGATTACCGGTAACACTATTACTTTTGATATTTAATCGGATGTTTGTTTTGTAATTCGCGTCAACACTATTATTTTTGATATTTATCGAATGTTGTTATGTAATTACCGGCAACATTATTACCGGCAACCAAAATCGTTGAATAAAAAAAATTAAAAAATGAAAATTGTTATTACCGACGACATCATCATTACTGGCGACGACACTCTTTACCGGCGACAAGATCATTAGCGGCGACAATTTAATCAATAGCGACGAAGCAGTAGCGGCAACTTATTACCGGCAACGTGTCGCCGCTATTACTATTACCGGCGACAATTTGACCTTTTACCGGCGACTTTTGTGGCCGCTAATTATCTTTTTACTTGTAGTGAGTCTATTTTAATCGATTGGAAAATATGAACCAACAAGTCTCTTAAGAAACATAAATAATAATAAACTAGTAGGTTACCACCACCACTTCGTAGGGGGACAAAACTTGCATAATTACGAATAGTGTACAATCCTTCAAATATACATAACTCATGTGGTTAAAATTTGAAACCAAAAAAATATAGAGACCGAAAAATAGCAATGTATATTGTGGGGATGTACATGTAATATGTAAACTTTCTATTAGCTCCAAACTGTTTTTCATATTTTTTTAAATATATAAACCAATTTTCTATTAGCTCCAGACTGTTTTTCATATTTATTTAAATATATAAACCGTTACTGTAAAAAAGCACAAAACCTTTCTTCTTTCTTCGTGTTAGGAACGCCAAAATAAGACTTCCACCCCTCCATCTTTGACATTTTTTAGGAACGTCAAAATACACAAAAGGGAGAGAATCCAAACCACATCCCATACTTCCCGCTAGAGGCGGCTGCATCTCGGCCTCATTCATACCTTAGTAGCATGAAAACAAAAATATCCAATAATACATAAAATAAGGTGTTATTTGTTTTTTGGAAAAAAAAACCTCTTCAGACCTCTTATTGCTGCGTGACGCAGCACACGCGCAACACTTTTCATCTCGCATCTGTTTGTTTTTTAGAATTCTTTGGAGTCAAAAACCTCTGTGCGTGCTCTGTTTGGCGCAGCACTTGTCCCGCCTCTTCCAAACTCTTCCAACCTTTTCTTCTTTTTTTTTTCTTGCTGAAATTTTGATTATATGTTGTTGAAATTTTATTTCATCTTTTATTTCGTTTTTTTTGTTTATTATTGTTGAATTTTTTATTTCGTTTTTTATATTCAATAATAATAATTTTTTGATGAAATATCATTATTTTTTACTAAAATATATTTATTTTTTGTTGAAATGTTATTATTTTTAATGAAATATCATTAATTCTTGCCGAAATGTTATATATTATTAAATTTTACGTATTAAAAAACTTTTTTCGGTTTATAAAATTAATTTATTTTGATTTTTTAATATCTGCAGCGGCATGCAGATGTTAAAAAAACAAACACGCTTCTTATTACAGTCTGCAGCCGTTTGGTCCACCTCTTCTACTGAGGGTTGCAGAGGTGGTCCGCAGACTTCATGAATGGGTTGCAAAGGTGGTCCGCAGACTTCATGAATTTTTGCTTCAAAAAATCAAACAGCACCTAAATTTCGAGTTACAAATTGGATAAAGTTCCGTATTACCAACTACACATTTAATGACAAATACAAAAATCTTACAATACAAGCCAATTACCATTGAAACTAATATTTTAAATAGGTGATTCATCAGAGCCAAGTGCCAACTTTGACAATACTCGACATAAGCATGCAACCACGTGGGACGATGGGAGAGATGCATGTTGTACTACATCTCTCGTTGAGTTCAAATTTTTTACTAGTAGAACATTTTAACTATTGTGTCCCATTACATAATTTATATAATGAAAGATAAACACCATCACAAAACTTGATAAAAAAATGTAGAACATCACGTTTTAACTATTTGTGTCCTTGAACAACAACAAAATATCCCACACCATAAATACCAAAAAAAAAAAAAAAAAAAAACTCGACCATAGATAAAAACACAAATCCAATTCTATCGTATTCGTCTTCCTCAAGGAAAATATGACCACAGACACTACTGACGTTCATTTTGCATTAATGAACTACAACATATGGAAGCATCCGCTTATTAAATTGAGAGTGACCATTATCAGCCACTTCAAAACACTATATCATAAGTCCTCCCTCAACACCTTATATACATCTTCATTCTCATATTACCCTCAACCCAAACACCACAAAAAATAACAACGTACTTTCACACTCCCTCACTGATACCTGATACCGATACCGACACTGGTATACCCACACTGGTATTGATACCGATACTGATACCAGGAGCACTAATGCATCCTAAGTTGACGGCAATGAAAGTGGCCCTTTAATCTCGTGAGTTGTTTACGCCTTTTCCTGGCTTCGGCGGCAGCCGCCACGTCACCACCTAATCTTTTACCTGAGCACAGAGGAACTTTGTGAATTTCACCATCAATTTCCTCACTATCATGTTCAATAAGTGCTTCACAACTCACACGGGGTGGCTCCGGTGTCTGTCGGCCGCCACCATCAGGCGGGAAACCGTGGTGGTTAGGTGTTTCCGATGCTTTTTCCGGGAAGAATTCCCGGAACTCGGAACACTCATTCGGTTTGTCGTTTAGATTGAAAGAATGGTGGCGGGGTTGGGGTTGGGTGGTGGTGTTTTGGGGTAGGGTAACCAACCAGGGGTATGGTAGTAAATATAGCGGACTTCCGGTTGTTGAACTTCCTTCTTCACTTGAATCGGGTTTATTGACCGGAAAAACTATTCCGGTGGGTAGTTGGCCGGAATTTATTCCGGCGGGTAGTTGGCCGGAATTTGTAGGGTGGATCATGGATGGCCATATGACGGGTAAGAAAGGTGGTTGGTTGTAGATTATAAATGGCGAATTTGTGGAGGATGAGGAAATGGCTTGTTCGTTTAAAGTGGTGGATTTTTCATGGGTTTCATCGGTTTCAAGATTTGTAACTTTGATCATCTACATGAATAGATTTGTATTAGATAGATGTTTTTATTTATTTTTGTCTCTAAATTTTCGAATGTTGCAAAATTGATTTCATTTTGTGATTTGTTTCGAGGGTTTTAGAACAAGGAGAAGAGGAAGAAATACAAGGGCACAATAGTTATATCTCTATAAAACACTATGAAATGTGAAATGGGATAAAAATGCAAGAGTATTTTTTCGGACGATATTTAGAAATTTTGATATAGTATAAGGACCAAAAGTGTAAATTAACTCTTGATATTATTTTCACCTGGGCTTTTAAACGTTCGTTCTTGGTCTTCAAAGAATCATACTGTTTCGAAGCAGAGTCCTTCTTCTGTTAAGAAAAAAAAAAAAAAAAAAACATGACATTCAGTTTTACATAAACTCAAAACGCCACTGAACTTCCAATTTTTGTTCTATTATTATAAATATTTTTGTATTTTTTTGTTGACGTAAAATTGTAACCTAATTCCATTTCGTTTCAATGTTATAAAAATGTGAAACACTGTCTATCTAATACTATATTTAAAGAAACTTAAAAAAAAAAAAAAAATCATAACGTGTAGCAAAATTATGCAAAACTTGTATATGAAAAAAGTACAAACCTTTTTCAAATTCTCATTCTCCCATGCTAAATCAACAGCCTTTCGTGTTAGCTCCTCAAAGATAGCCTTGCAAAATTATCATAAAGATAAATACATAAATATATAAAAACCCAAATGTATATTAATGTATTTTAACAAGAAATAGCACATATACAAATTTCAGTAGTAATTTAAGTTTTTAATTATAAGCAATGTAATTCACAAAATAGTAAACCACATATTTTTAAAGGATAATAAAATAACATGTATATTGGATTTTTCCAGATTAAATCTCAAACTTTATTTTTTTCCTTAAAAAACTTTTATATGTTTTCTGTTTTTTTTTTGGACATTTACTTTATTTTTTTCCCCTAAAAACATTTATATGTTTTAAGCTCTTTTGTTATTTGGGCATTTTTGCTAGTTTACTTTTTGAGGTTTACTCAAAAAAAATGAAAAAATATAATGGCCAAGTTGAAAAAAAAATAGAAAAATATAATATCCAAATCGAAAAGATGGAAAAATATAATGACCAAATCAAGAAAAAATAAAATTTATAAAGTTTTTGATGGAAAAAAATAAATTTAAGGTTTAATTCTCAAAAAAACAACATAGAGGGTTTTCATATAATTATTATGCAATAAAAAAAATCAAATATCCTCCTACTTTTTCTTTTTTACCATCTTTATTATTGTTACGGTTGTTATATTTAATAAAATTAGTAACTTTTTATTACATTTGTTATCATTACAATATTAAAAATGATAAGCATGTATAGGAAAAAAATAAGAAGATATTTAATCTCCCAGATATTATTATCAGATATAAAGATCTTTTTGCATTAGAATAATAAAATCTATTAATTTGGCGCCGTTAAGAAAAAACATCTATTAATTTGGAAAATAATTACTCATTAATACCTGTCTTCTACGGATTGTTTGTCTAGCTGACTCTCTATTTGCTAACACCCTTCGTATTTTACGTGCTTCCATTTCAGTCTGTGTAAAAAAAAAGAAAAAAAAAATGAGCAAATACAAAAAACAAAAAACAAAAAATTATAATAAATGTCTTTCAAATTCAAACCTCAGTTAGATTTTGTCTAGATTTCCTCCCACTCGATGAACAATTCGTGGGACACCCAGGATTAAGTCTAAGTTCAATACTCTGTTCATCCTTCACCAACTTCTGACTCAAGATCCCTGAATTCCCCGACTTTTTCTGCATAAAATTTGTTGAATTTTCCTCATTAACACAAAAAAAGAAGACAAAAAGAATCTCAAATCTTAAGATCATGTATATAACCTAATAAAAAATCATGACAACAGTCTTCTATCATGTCGTATGTCGTGTCATTGTCAGGACCATGAAGAAATAGCCGTTGACACGAACTTCAATCAAAGAAAAAGACATACCAATCACACTAATGTGGGTCTCAGATCCTTTACATCCATATATATATATATATATATATATATATATATATATATATATATATATATATATATATATATATATAAAAGTGTATGTAAGTCATAAGAGAGCAAAAGTGATGCCAAAAGTAGTTGGTGTATTCAACAGAAAACAAAATTTTAATGGAGATCTTCCTAGGAATGTGTAATTGCTGAAAGCAAAGTAGATCTGTGATGGAAATGGAAAGCAAAAACTCCGAAAATTAAAGGTGATGAAAACTATCTAATTGAATTGTTATTTCTCATGCTCCTAACTGATTCATAGCAATCAGATTCGTAATGTGTGAAGGAAGAAACAGATGTTTTGACGTTCTTCATGGAGTTATAAAAAAACCCTAACATTCAAATAATTGGGAAATTAGTGACAAACCTCATATGAATGACTAGGAAACGTGTCAAACGAGGAGTTAGACTCGTCCTTGACTCGTTCAGCAATTGATTCACTACCGCGAGAATCGGAAATTGTAGCAGGAAGATGAGCTAATCCAGCCAAAGCTTCCGCCGCCTCCAATTCAATCTTCACCATGGAGTCAAAATCCGCCGGCGATGCCCTAATTGCATCCATAATTGGTTGCTGCAACAACAAACAAGTTGCAAGAGAGATAAAGTGGAGAGAGAGATGGGCTATGGAGGTGTTGATAAGTAGTCGCAGAAGGTAGGGCGATGGAGAAGATGACACATGTCCTGCCATGGCGACTCATGACGGTGGATGTATGAGGAAACGCCACGTACCGATGAGGCACAGGCCTCGGTAGCAGAGGTTTTAGGCGATTGGGCAATGGCGGCAACAGGGGCACGTGGGGCTTCGTCATTTACAAGTGGCCAACAGAAACTCACCTTCCTACATCGTGTAGCGAACTCAAGATAATTCTTTTATAACAAAATATCTTTATGTTTACTCTATGTCGATTGTAAAAAGAAAAAGGGAAAAGAAAAAGTAAAGTCAGTTTCATTTAATTCATCAATCTTTTTTCCTGTGTGGTTAATGACTGGAATAAAGGCAGTAGGTGTTGTTCATTGTATTTAAGATTGATAAATTCCTAGTAGTTAGAGGTATTTTATGGTATTGTTATGTGAGTTGATTTTGTTGAGTAATCGAGCTTGAGGAAATTTGAAAGTATTAATGTATGTTGATTCGCAAAAAGATGGAATAGGAATTCAACATGATGCTTTTAGGATCTAAATGATGTATATTTGAAGCCATTTGTGATGAGGTTTTAGTTGAAAAGTTGAATGGGTGATTTTGGACGATAACATGATGTTGACAGAAGTTTCTACCAAGTTGCACAACCTAAACAACCCGCCAACCAGAAGCTAGTTGGGGGAATTATTATTTTGCTTCGAAAAGCTATTTAACTTTTTTTACGTAGTTTGGGGTGCAATAAGTTCGATTGAGCTTAATTATGTGTATAGCTATATGATCATAAAGTGGTTTGGTTTTTAACTTGTGTTTCTAGGTGTAACTTTCCATCTACACGGATCAAATGTGTATTGAATCTTCATTTCAACGAATATGAACATATGTAACCCAATGGACTTTATCTCATAATATAAAAGAAGTTAGGTTGTTCTAGATGCTCTCGAAGATCCTAGACGATTCTAGAACATTATGAAAGAATATGGAAGATTCCACAACATGCCGGAAGACTATAGAATGTTCTAGAATGATATAGAAGACTCTGAAAGGTTATAGAACATTCTAGAAGACCATGGAAGGCACAAGAACGTCCTAAACTTATCTAGAACATTCAGGAAATATATAGAAGTTTGTAATAAATATAGAATATACTTCAAGAAAACAAAATGTAGTAATCCTTTAAAAAATGTGAAACTCATATAGAGAGGTAGAAATATCTATAAATAAATGTGAAACTCATTTGCTCCAAACCATCCAAGAAATACTTCAAGAAAACAAAATGTAGTAATCCTTTAAAAATGTAAGTTATTTTTCAAGTGGTCTTAATAAAAAGTGTTACTGTTTCCCACATAAATAGTTGTGTTCAATATATGCATTACTCTAATTAATATCAAACGAGTCTAATTTCAACCGATTAGATATGTTTGTGTTATTATATGTTACATGTGATGAGTTTTTGTTAAATGCGACTTGGCCATTTGGGATCCAGATGGAGCAATTCCGAATCATGGTGGAGCATTTGGCCAAAATAGTTATGGCTTTTTCCAAAGGCGCTCCTGGCATGCCAAAATGCGCTCTACTCCATGGAGGCATCATAATGTGTTAGAATTTTTTTTTTCTAAAAACGCTATAGTTGAAGAGAGACTGTGTTGTTAATCTTGGAGGATGTGTTGGTTCTCTTGGTTGATGGAGAATGCACTCCTGGATGCGTTGGTTCTCCTAAAGGTGCTCTCTTGGTGTAAAGGTGCTCTTTTATGCAAATGTTCTTTCTTTGGTGCAATGGTTCTACAAGTGATGGCTTTTCATGAGCGTGTTTGCATTCATGGAGAAGACACTAAATGCAGGGTCAAAGTTGCTCTAAGTTCTTGGAAGGTGGCCATGCACATTACCACCAAGGTTGAAGATTCTAGGTGCATGGCGTCTCGTGATTAGTTGACATCCATTTGGACATATGAATGGATATGCATGGCCCATTAAGGATTTATGAAAGATCTTCGGTTTATAAATAAGGTGCACTCTTTAGTAAAAATATGATAGATGATGGATCTTCATGAATATGTTGCATGCATGGAGAACATGCTTCATGCATGGTCAAAGGCGCTCTATGTTCTTAGAATGTAACAATTGGTAAAAATAGATCAAAGTTCGTTGGTCAAACCGCCGCGAACCCCACTTTATTAAGGCATATTGTATATTTTTCTATGTTTTATATGCAATTGAAGTTATGTTACTCATAATTGCACTCAGATTACTCCAATTTGCTCAAGAGTTTTCGACCGATAACAAACATAAAACAATTCACAAAATAAGTACCATTTAATGCCCTAAAAATAAAATTTATGCATTGAGTGTACTTGGGAGCTCTATATGAAAAAAAAAATGGATAGGATATGTTCTCACGACTGCGTGGATAAAAAACGTCCAAAACGGAGATCATACAAGGAAGTTATGCTCTTTTTAAGGTGTAAAACCATTGTTTAACTGATTTTCCTAGAAACGAACACTGCTTTGCTTCGTTTGGGATAGCTACACTCTTCGTAAATTGTTTTTAACATGCTTTTGAACTCAGGCTTAGGTCAAATATTTGATTTCACTTTTATGATATTTTTGACCCCGAGTTAAATCAGATTCGCAAAAATTGTCGAACCGGAGCCTTTTAAACGTGAAACTTTAAACGTCGTATTCACATAGTTTTGTATATCGGATTTGAATTTTATTTGCGTTTTTGAAATCACCACGCCGAGACTATAAATAGGCATTTTCGAAAGATTTTTACGAAGTTAGAATTGTTGGCACGCGAATCGAGGCAAAAGGAGAGTGACATCACAAGCATTACATCATGCAAGGTACGTGCAAGTACCATGCATGTGTGGGAAATCTTCCAAAATCTGATCTATATCCTTCTAAAATCAGATCTTAGATCACTCCATACCTCTCATTTCTCTCTCTCTCTCTCTAATCTCCCTCCCTCTCTCTCTCTCTCGTTCTTGATATCCTGCGAAGAAAAAGAAGAAAAGCCAGCAACACCACCGCTTCCCAACCCATCCTCCGGTCGTTTAGTAGCCCCACAACACCCATTTCATGTAACACTTGGATTTTTGGTATGTTCTTTTCATCCCTTTTATATTTTATTTTATTGCAAGCTGGACCTTGGAGTCGTACGCGGCGCGTGCCATTTGGTACACTTAGCGTACTAGCTGAAAAGCTAGTACGTGGGGCGTACCACATGGTACACTTAGCGTACTAAGGTGATGCTGGTCGCGGGTGCGAGGCCTTGTACGTTGGGCATACGAGGGTTACACTTAGCGTACTCGGAGATTAACAAACCCTAATTTTAGGGTGTTGCACCCTATATAAAGTCCTTCAGTTCATAGGGTTGGCCTCTTTACCAGCTTCCATGCCCAAAATCCTAAATCTCAATCCTTATCCTCTATTGTTGTGTCTTTTAGCTCTTGAGAATAATTTGGCGATTATTTTGCTCTTTTTGAAGGAAGTAAAGAAGATTGAAAGTGCTTTGCTTGGTGTGAAGTTTATAGATCCAAAATCATCACCCTTTTCTGCGAGTCTTTTGAGGTATCAATTTTATACCTTGTTTTGGAGTAATGTCTTAATGGATTAAGGGTTAGAAATGGAAGACGGCTGGATGGGGAAGTACGTTGGGCGTACAAGCAAGTAGGCGCCACGTACAGGCCCTAAAGCATCTACACTTAGCGTACTGCTGAGTACGCCCTACGTACCCAGGCAATTGGGCTTTGGATCTTTTGGGCTTCGGTTTGGGCCATTTGCTTGCAAGTGTTTTGGTCTAGGAATATTTTTGGACCTTAGGGTAAGGCCCATGAAAGGGTTTGGGCCCGATTTGGAAAATTGGGCCATGTTTGGGCCTTGGTTGATTAATTGGTTATTGGGCCTTTTTGGATTATGAGTTTGGGCATAACTCTTGGTCCAAACTAGGTAAGGGGTAAAATGGTCATTTACCCTACTTATGGATTGTTAGTTATTTGATATTGATAGCTCGGGGATTCGTCAGACCTACAGCCAGGGATTTATCAATGTGATTCAGCGGTGCGAGGTGAGTTTCCTCACTGGGTTTAACGGGTCGAAGGCACTAATTCTGGCCCATGATTATGTTATTTTAGGGTGCTAGATGTCTGCGTGACTCTTGCATGTGTTATGTACGTGTATGCTTACCGGGCGGGACCCGATGATCATCTTGTATGCTATGTATCTATGTGATTATTGCATGTGTATGTGTTTATATGATATATGTTTGTATGTATGTTGGGCGGGGCCCAAACTATATAACGAGCGGGGCCGAATGTCGGGCGGGGCCCATTATATGTTTATTATGTATGGTATGTGGTATTTTGGAGAACTCACTAAACTTTATGCTTACGGTTTTCAGCTTATGTTTCAAGTACTTCTAGTTCAAAAGGGAAGAGCTCGGGATGATTGTAAAGCACACACCACTGCGTTTTGTATTTTGTGATTTACTCTGATTTGAGATGATGTTTGATACACTTGTTTTTATTTAGATTGTATTGATGATGATTTGGAATACTGATTTTATTAAATTAAAAATGAAATTTTTGGGTCTTATTTTTGGGAGGTTAGAAGTTATGTGACATCCCCAAATTCACGGCCAGAAAAGACCGGTTTAATTTATGCTTTTGAAATAATTTCAGAGTAATCATTTGATTAAAAGTGTTGCGGAATTTGTTCCAAGAAAAACATGATAAATATGTTATCAAATCATTTCCGAAGAAATGTATTTTATTCACTTAAACCATTGGGATGTCATTGTCAATACAAAAACATAAGCATAAACAAAACTTACATTCATTTACACTAGTGATCTACTTCTCTTTTAATCTCTCAGTATAAAGCAACTCCGTATCGATACCTGTGATACAAATAAACTGAGTGGGTCAGGCTTGGGAGCCTGGTGAGCATATAGGGTTTTCAACCCACAATAAATAATTTATTATGCTTAAACATCAAACAATCAACCCAATTACCCAATCCCCATTGTCGTATTTATTTCTTAAGGATTTACCCTAAGAATCAACTATCACTCATTCCTAAGGATTCATCCTAAGGAATAGGCACGAAGTCTATCGCTGCCCAAGGTTTATACTACAAGCACTAACAACGTCGATCCCCACATACTGATCCTATACAGTACTAGATCTAGCCTAAAGGATCGATATGAACAACCAACTAATGAAACTGCTTCGGAAATCCCCTAGCAGCAAACAAGGATCGATAAAGATATCGAATGAATGGAATAAGTTTAACCACGAACCTTTGTTCGTAAAAGAAAGAACCACATGACAATTAAGTCAGGGGTAGTTATCAATGCCTAGGCTGTGGTCTGAATATCGTGGGGTATGTAGCCCCCAGACGCACCCTATCCAGCATCGAACTTTGCCTAGGCTGTGGTCTGAATATCGTGAAGTATATAACCCCCATACGCACCCTATCCGGCAATGGAAACACTGACTAATGCCTAGGCTGTGGTCTGAACCCCCAGACTTACCCTATCCGGCATCGGAAATGAAAACACTGACTAATTCCTAGGCTGTGGTCTGAACCCCCAGACTCACCCCTATCCGGCATCGGAAATGAAAACACTGACTAATGCCTAGGATGTGGTCTGAACCCCCAGACTCACCCCTATCCGGCATCGGAAATGAAAACACTGACTCATGAAGCTCGTCCGATCACTTCACAAAAGAAACGAAGACTCCAAAACTCTTCAAAATAAAAGCATAGGGAAAATACTAATAAAGTACTCTCGTACGCTCCCGTACCCCGACACGTAATAGTGTCAAAAAGAAGAACTAACGGATGAACACATAGTTCAAAAACAAACACTTAATGAACGTATAGTTCGAGAACACCTTATGAACATATAGTTCAAACATACCTACCAATTACAAGTCTGCTAACGTTCCACTGGACTATCTAAAATAGTCTGTGGCCGTTGTCTATACTCTGCTAGATGACTAGATCATCTTAAACATCGATATCTCTCATCACTTTTATTTCATCACACATCATCTAATTTATCTACCCATGTTTTACCCAACATATTTGTAGATAAAAATACATACACAGTTTAAAACTTGTATAAAATATCAAGTCAACAATCACCTCAAATAAACAATTAATATATATTTACACATAGCATGTATTTTAAGGTAAATACTTCATATCTATGTGTAAGATGAAGGTGACTATACACTCACATGATTTAACGATAACCGGGCAGCACTTCGTTGCCTAAAACGATCGTTTCTAATAAAACCGGGAGTTTTATTGAGAAACCGGGCTCTACGAGGGTCGGGCTTTGAAACCGAAAAAATAAATTTCCCGGGCTTCTCGGGCACTCCGGGACGTGTTCCGGGCGTTGGAAATGATCTCGGGGCATCGGGGGAAGTGGAAATGGTGAAAATATGAGTTTAGGGGTGAAAAATGGCAAAATCCCAAAGTTACTCGGGAAGTCTCGCACCCTTCTATTTATAGGGGGAGGCTTCGGACCGAGGGGGGAAGGTGGCTCGCAGAGGAGAGGGCACGAGGCGGAGCTCGGAAGGTGCCAGCGCAAGGCCACGCGTCAGATCAGGAGAGGACCGCACCGCGGATGCGAGGAGTCACTGCACACTTGTCAGATGTGCGAGGGCCGAGACTTCGGTCGAATCCGGAAGTGACACGCAATTGCCAGCTGCTCGGATGACTCAACCATTTCGGACACGTGGCACATTTTGGGTGAGGGTGACGTGGCCGAAGTTGGGCCATGCGAAATTCCTCGGATTTTGTGCAAAAACTTCTAAAATCCATAACTTTCGCATACGAGCTTCGTGTTTGACGTTCTTTAGACTTCGTAGGTAAAATTACGCTCTACAACTTTCGTTTAGACTTCGTCGGCTAATTTTGACTTTAATTTTTATATTATTATTTTTAACAGACCGGGACAGGAAATCCGTTAAAAATTCATAACTTCTTCATCCGACGTCCTTTTTCGTCAGACTTTTTACCGTTGTACTACTATTTACGAGACCTTCGATTCTGGTTTAGGTCGTGTCGGCTAAAAATCACTCGATCTAAAATTCGAGTTTTTAGCTGTCTACTGCTACGCTGAAACTTCGAAAAATCATAACTTCCTCATACGAAGTCAGAGGCGTTCTTTTTATACCTACTCTCGGTTTAACGAACACTACGAGTTTCGTTTAGATTACTAAGGCTAAAAAGTAGTTTATCAAAAACTCACTTTTTACGACATTCGGCACCGTGCCGGTTTTGTCGTGAAACTTCGACAGGTCATAACTTCTTCGTTATAACTCGGATTTTGGTATTCTTTATATATCTGTAATCCTTGTCACGACCACCACAACTTTCTTAATAGATATCGGCTTTATCTAATATTTATTTTCGACGCTCATTTTTATTCTTAATTAATTAAACCCTAATAATTAAGCATAAAACACATAATTTTCACATAATTCCTTTTCATTTCTTCTAAATGAGTTACAAAGGTTAACCTAGACTATTATGTCAATATTAATGCCTAGCCTAGAAACACGGGCGTTACAAGTTAGTATCAGAACCTCGGTTTGAGGGATTCAACATTAGTTAGATAACTGATTAAGAAATGTGTTACTTGCAAAATGTCACTTATAATAACAATCTAGAGGTGAGTAAAACCGAAACCGAAAACCCAAAAACTGATAAAACCGAAAATGAGAAACCAAAACCGAACCAAAATTGTCGGGTTTGGGTTTAAAATTTTAAAAACTAAAATAAGGATGTCAACGGGGGCAAACAGGTAAGCCTGCCCACCCCTGCCCCTGCCCCCGCCCCCATTTGGGTTGACTTTTTTTTTTTGGATGAACGAATGTGTTTTTTGGGCTAAAAGAAATTTTTTTAAGGTTAAAAGAAGCTATTTTTGGGTAAAATAGTTATTTATAGCATAATTTTATATATTTAAAACAAAAATATTATAAAATTTCAAAAACGTTATAAGCTTAAAAATATGGTATTTTATTGAATTTTGGAAGTTCGAAATCATTGCTATTATTTATTATATTTTTATAATTAATATATATTAATATAAATAATATATTAACGGGGTAGCATTAGGGGTTCGGGACGGGACTACCCACCCCTGTCCCCGCCCCCGAAATTAAAACGGGGGTTAATCTTGCCCCCGCTCCCGCCCCCATCCCCGATTTTTTAAACAAATATCCTCATGCGGGATTGGGGCCCCACGAGACTTTTTGACATCCCTAAACCGAAATTTTCAGTTTGGATTGGGTTTGCCTTGTCAAAACCGACCCAATCCAACGGTTTTGAAACTGATCTAAACCTGACCCTAACCAAACCAACCAACCTAACCGATCCCAACTATTCCTAATTTTTTATGTTACTTTGATTTTCATGTTTTGGTTATGAGCTTCAAAACTTAGTAGTTTTAATATTTTTTTGAACTATGTAATTGATTTTGCTTGTTTTAAATGGTTTGAAAAAATTCCGAATTAATTTGTTAGTTTATTTACATTTTATGAAAAATGGACTTAAACCCAAAACCCGTGAACATGGTTGAACCCATAAACCGGGAAAGTGACCATAGAAACCGAACCCATTAGGTTCTAAAACCCAAAAACCAAACCTGGAAACCAAACACATTGGGTTCTAAAACCCAAAACCGAATACATGGGTTACGTTCAGTTTATGCTCACCCTTATAAAAAAATCTCACAAAGTTTAGGTATCTACATACATAAAAGTGTTTTTAGGGTAAAATCATCAAATTTTTTTTTTTTATTACAAACTTAAAGGTTTTCTTTGATTCTCCTTATAATAAAAAATCATAAATGAATAAATAAAGATATATAATGCGGAACTACTAAAAATGTACTTTATTTATATGAAGACAAAACATGAACATTAGAAGATAGTAAAGGGACTCGAATTGTAACTTAGATGAAACAAATCAATATACGATTATCAACAAATAAACCCTCCCACCTCTTCACAGAATCCTTTTTCAGCTTGAACGAACAATCACGACTCTAGCTTCTGCGCCACCTTCAAAGGAGACGGTTCTTATTCCGGCGGTAACCAACTTCCGATTTTCTACTAACAAGTGATTCTTGATCTCTTTCTCTCTCAAACTCTAGATGTCCGATTTCATCTGCAACTTGTTAATTTTCTATTGCTTCGAACATTTAAAATGCGAAACTAATTTCATTTTTGATTTTCATTATTTTTCCACTTTGTAGGGTTAATCGAAAGATTAACAACGAAACCATGGATTTGAATATTTATTATTTGGTGCCCTAGCTTACTAGATTCGTAACCCTAGGTTTCAATTTTAACATTGTAAATTATGTCTTGTGGTTAGTGTAAAGTATATTCGTGAATTAGGGTTTAACAATACAGGATTTAGGAACATCATGTAATTTACTTTTTGAATTATGATGGAAATTTCTTACATTTTTTCAAACTGATGTTCTCGTCACCATGGAAATCAGGGTTTCTTAGTTTTGTTATATGTAGCTTCTTTTAAATTTGCTTGAGCTAAATCAATTATATCAGTTTTTGCAATAACATGGCTTTCTAAATCTAAACATACAGTGTTAATGTGTTATTATTCTTTACCTTTTCTGTTCATATGTGTATCAGTATCACTATTGTTTTGATTTTGTAAGACAAGATCACTCAATATCTTTCATATAGCTTACATGTTACAACGAATGACCTTTGTTTCTTTATTCATGTCATATAATGTTATTCCTTTATCTAATTTGGATTAGTCATTGTAGTCAGAAGAATGCCTAAAGTGAAGACAAACCGTGTTAAATACCCAGAGGGATGGGAGCTCATAGAACCTACTCTTCGTGAATTACAAGGAAAAATGAGAGAAGGTATTTTGTTTCTTTATATTAATGTTTCATTTTTTACACAGGACATGACGTATGACATGACATAAAAGATTGTACTGTAGACTGAGATTGATGTCCTATTGCAGAGACTTATGTGCAAAAAAAGACGTAAATGCCCTTCTCATCCTCATTATTGAAAATAACTTTATCTTAACTAGGATCGATCCTGATGTCAATAGAACAAAACTTAACTATATCTTCCTACCCAAAAAAAGGAGGTACAGAGACTTGCAAAAGACGTAAATGCCCTTTTCGTCTTCATTATTGAAAATAACTTTATCTTAACTAGGATTGAGACTGATGTCAGTGGAATAAAGTTTCACTTTTTTTGTCCCACCCAAAAAGGAGGGACAAAGACTTATGTGCAAAAGACGTAAATCCCCTTCCATCCTCATTATTGGAAATAGCTTTATCTTAACTAGGATTGAGACCGATGTCAATAGAACAAAACTTCATTTTTTTGTCCCACCCAAAAAAAGGAGGTACAAAGACTTATGTGCAAAAGACGTAAATGCCCTTCTCATCCTCACTATTGAAAATAGCTTTATCTTAACTAGGATTGAGACCGATGTCAATAGAACAAAACTTTACCTTTTTGTCCCACCCAAAAAAAAGGAGGTACAGAGACTTATGTGCAAAAGACGTAAATGCCCTTCTCGTTCTTATTATTGAAAATAACTTCATATTAACTAGGATTGAGACTGATGTCAATAGAACAAAACTTCACTTTTTTTCCCACCCAAAAAGGAGGTACAGAGACTTATGTGCAAAAAAAGACGTAAATGCCCTTCTCATCCTCATTATCGAAAACAACCCTATCTTTTCTTTAATTATTGGTTCTTATTCTCTCACCATTTTACTAATGGAAAATTTTGCTATATATATTTTTTTTAGCTGAGAATGATCCACACGATGGGAAGAGAAAATGTGAGACACTATGGCCTATTTTCAAAATTGCACACCAAAAGAGTCGTTACATATTTGACCTTTATCATCGAAGGAGAGAAATTTCAAAGGAATTGTTTGAATTTTGCTTGGATCAAGGGTATGCAGATCGTAATATCATTGCCAAGTGGAAAAAGGTGTGCAATTTTGCTCTTGAATTCTATTTCATTTTCCTTCATATTAAAACATTTTATAAATGATTCTGATATATTTTGGTTGTGATTTTTTATTTTCAGCCAGGATATGAACGACTTTGTTGTTTAAGATGCATTCAGCCACGTGATCATAACTTCCAAACAACGTGTGTTTGTAGAGTCCCAAAGCATCTGAGAGAGGAAAAGGTTATAGAGTGTGTGCATTGTGGTTGCAAAGGGTGTGCAAGTGGAGATTAACAACTTACCTTGCATTAAGTACTATCGATGCTTAGTTGCTCACATATTGTATTATGCTTGAATTTATTTCAACTTTATCACTTGTTTTGGTGGTGTTAACAAGATGATTAACCTTTTGGTATAAAAATGGTTGTCATGTATGCTAATGTGGTTGGAAATTAGTTTACGTATGGACAATAAAATACAAAGACAAAATAATAGTTGTATTAGGTTTGGTATGCATTGGACTGAGACTGATGAGACTGAAAATAGCAGATAGAACTGTTGTTGATACGACAAAAATTGAGTAAATGAGTAGATTTTCTAAAGTACAACATCTCAATAAGAAAAAAATATACGAATAATAAAAAGAATCGGAAGAATGAATTCAGTATAATGCTGAAAATGTGAAATCTTATGGATTTTCATCTTGTTACTACATGAACAAAAGTGTCTATAATAGTATAATACATAGATAAACAAAAATACATTGTGATTAATTTCATTTGGTCTTTTGTACATACAAATATACGAACTAATAATATCCACCAACACTTCTCCTTCCAACTGCTTTATTTCTACTCCTCGAAATATACGAATCAATTCTTATATTAATTTCTTCATGAAACTCATACATCTCATCTTCATAAATTGTACCCACCAACCCCAACGAGCTATAACTATAACGAACTTCATCGAGGGCAAAAACGTCAAATTCTTCACTTTTTGAAGTACTCGTGATCTTTTCAGATGTTGATCTAAGAAGGACCGATGGGTTACTTGCGCAGTTACTATGATTAATGGTCCAATAATTTGAACCAAACGTGGGTGGTGGTGGAGCTTGTGGTGGAAAGCCGCTCATGTTTCTAATTGGGCCTACTTTTTCATCAAGAATGACCATTTTTTCGACATATACCGCTTTTGCCCTTCTGAATAATCTTCGTGGTGTACCTATGTATTTTGTTAGATTCATTCTTATGGTTCATTCATATAAGAGTGGTAAAAGGTAGGCTAATGGTATAAATAGTAAGTTGGGTATTTTGGTAATTTTGTTATGGATGGAAAACTCTAAAAGAAGGAATATTGAAGTTTGTTTGTAGGTGTGGGAGTAAGTTACATATCCTTATCTCTTTGTTTTATAAAGATGCTCGTTCTTGAATTCTTGCTTAGTTTGACTCTTTGTGGTTCAATTTCTTTTTATTATGGGTAAAATTTGTAAGTAGTTATGTATTTTTTTCATTTTTTTATTGATATGGACATTGTATTGTATGTTTATTACAGTAGCAAAATATTTGCAATTTTTAATAATGGAAATCAAAACCAACAAATATAGCAAGTTTTGACTTTTTAATGTCATGTGTTGTGATATGTAACATTACACGCGTATAAAAAAAATAAGATGAATGTCTAATTACTTTTGCAAAAATACATATATGTCTATGTTCATGAAATGAATATTTATACAAAAACCCTAAATGTCCAACATATGTTCATATGTTCATATATATTCATAAATGAATGTCTATAGAAAAACTCAGATATGAATATGTTCATGAATGAACATTTATACAAAAGCCATAAATATGCAACATATATACAAAACCCCAAATGTGCATATGTTTATGAATGAACATTTATATAAAAATCCTTAAATTGGTAATGTTTATACATGTTTAGTAGTGAACATATATGAATGTTCATAAAATATAATCCAATGCATTTTCATCCAAATGAAGCATCCATTGGAGAAGTACCCACCAACAATCCACGAATTCCATTTATAGTCTTCTGCCTTTAAAAACTTTCTTTTTAAACACCCTATAGATGAAAATAACACCATGAAAAGTCGGTTTTCAGTAAAACACAAGAAATTCATGTATTATTAAGGACTTTTATTGTGCATAAATCCATAATATCTTATAACCTTTTTATACACATAATTAGAACTTTTATTTGATTAACATTTTGAAAATATATTTTGTTGGTGAATGACGTCTCTTTTACTTTAAAATCCACACCACTAATAAGTGTTGAAGGGATAAGCATGAATTGCGGAAAAAAAAAATTGTTTATACCAAGTTACAATTCCAACGATTGTCGTAAAGCAAAATCAGAAATTCAATTCAGAAGTTCTAAGGCATATAGTATATTGTAGTTTATTCTAGCATTTCAAGCCTACAAGATATTTACCCTCCATTATCAAATTGAAAGTTACAGATTCTAAGAGTTACTGTGTAGTGTTTCATCGAATCTTAGAACTAAGAAAACTATAAATAATAAATTCATTATCGGATATCATTGCCAAAACATTTGGGATAAACGAAGATCAAATTTCAAAAATTTCTTACTGAAAAAATGGAGATGCAAAAAAAGATGAATAAAAAACAACAAAATTCAATATATGTAGATAAAGGTAGCTTAAAACTAATAAGTTTAGGGTGCGATTCGTAAATAAAGCTGAAGTCTAAGGGTTAAAAATGTAAATTGGAAAACTAAATGTCTTTTGTAGCAGGTAGCAGTAGCTACTCGCGGTAGCATTTGATTTTGGAATGTTTTGTTGAAAGCTACTCCATGTAGCTTTTGATTTTGGAGCCTTTTGTTAACGCTCATGTCGCCGAACGCCAAACGTCAGAAGCTCCCAAACGCTGCATGAGAGTTTTTGTATGCAAGATTTTCATTCTTTCTTTGTATCTTGCATACATACACATACATTTCAAAAAACATTTAATTTTTTTTCATTCTTTTATTTATTTCTTCTATATTTCTTCTTAATTATCCTTTAGTGATTCTGCAAATTGGTACAACAATATCAATATGTGTTGGTGATTTTAGTGTCACCAAATATTTTGTATAATTGGAACTAATATGTGAGCTAAGAGGCTTATAATTTATACTTTATATTATATGTTTGATGAGTACGGAGTGCACACATTTGTAAAATCGAATGATAAGCCGGCACGAATAAATGACGGAAGTCAAGGGGGCCGCGCCCCCTTGCAGGGTCTAAGGGTCAAAGCCTCTGGCGGTGATTATGGTAAGATTGACAAATCTTGTCAGTTTTGAAAATCATTGATTATGTCATTAAATCCATGATTTACTTAACTAATTTACAAAACGAAAACCCTAATTCTCAACTATAAATATGACTCTTCTCTTGAGCTATATTATACCCTTCTTAGCTCTCTTTCTTCTCAAAACGATCTCAGAATTCTCTAGCAATTTGGTATACGTTTCCGTGCCTAGATTCGTAAGTGTCCATTTGGATTATCCTAGACTGGATTTCTTGTAACCTGGACATAGGATAGAAATATTAGTTCGGAAAGCAACCTTACGCGATCCATTGGCATAACCCTCCCACAACCTAACAATATAGACAACAGAAAAAATAGAGATGCAAGAAAAGATAAACACTAAGTAAGATCTAAACCCATTACCTTTGTTCCATAGATAAACTTTCATGGAAATTGAGAGAATTAACTAACCTTGCATGAAATCTATATATCTTAAAAGGAAACCCTAACTTTGTAGGCGTATTGAAATCACAATCAAACGAATCGAATGAGAAGTGATGATGAATTAATTTTAGGTTTCACGTCATCCTCTACAACACATCTTCGATCACCCACCACCATCATCTTTTCTATTTTCCTTCATCTTTTCAAGCAGCTAACAACAAAAACACCATAGTTGCTTCTTGATTTTGTATGATGGAATGGGGCGAAGGGTGAGACTATAAAGAGACATAACGTGAGGAGTGAAAAAGGAGGTGATTTAGGTTTTGGGAAGAATACGTAGAGGAGAGACTAGAGTGACATATCTTCTCTTCTAATAAAACAGTACATTAGACGACACGTGGCACCACCTTAGTCCATCCGTCTTGGCTTTCCCGCTCATTTGATCTAACTGAAATTCCAGAATTTCCCTTCATGTTATTAATCACTGAAAAGTCGAAAATTTTGAAAAATCTTTTTATAAATCAGTAAATATTTAAATCATGAAATCAGGATATTTTAAATTTGAATTTTCAATTATACCATATAATTCTGCAACAAATATGGCAGAAAATAAATGTTAAACTCTATCACTCCCAAAAAATCAGCAAATCAAATTTCAATCCCAATAAATCAGTAATCGAATATCAGTCGGATATATATACACATTTACATGCGTGTTTACCTTCCTGTTTCACTACGCATAGATCACTTTATTCATCAGGTAATGAGACTACATTGTTTACTCTGTGTTTTTAATATATCGATGGTATACTCATGGATTAATCGCTTTTTTTGTGGTTACAGTGTGTTTTTCCTATATCCAGGGTATATACTCATCGACTTTTTAGTTTTGGACTTCATAATCAACCAGGTCAGTTTACTGTTTTTTTTAATTGTTAACCCTGTTTTTTATAACCTGTTAACCTTTTTTTTTATAAACTGTAATTAATAACACAAATTTTTTCCTAAATATATTTAATTGTTTTAATTGTTTTTTATAAACTGTTTGATCATGTACATGTATCACGGATTGTTGAATAGCAATGTATTTTATAAACCGTTAATCATGTTTTTTCCTTATGTATTTTAACTCATTTATGCACCCATTACTCACTTAAAGAAATTATAACATTGTGTATTTCTATGATCAAAATCAGTTAAATAGCAATGTATTTTTTTAAGTATATGTTTTCTTTATGATTTTTTTGATTATATTTAAAAAATTTTGTTAAATATATAGTTTTTTTTTTTTTTTAAATTTTCAAGGTACAATGGAAGATATTACTCCAGTAAAGGAGATTGACTCAATCAAGGACGATTTCACAATTAAGGTTCGCATCATACGTCTTTGGACTCAAAAGTCAAAATTTGATGCAAATGACACATACTCGATTGAAACGATTCTGATGGATAAGGAGGTATAACATGCATATATTCAATTATTATTTTTATAAAAATTTATTGATATTTGTAAATTAATTATTTTTTAGGGAAGGAAAATTCATGCATCTTGTTTGAAGAAATGGTTTCCTAAATTCCAACGCTATTTAAAAGAGGATACTTCATTATACATCAAGAAACCTAATGTCGCACCAAATACTTCAAACTTTAACTTTGCTGATCCGGACAAAAAACTTACTTTAAATCCTGATACAACTCTAAAAGAGTGTGAAAACTTTTCTGGTTCTACATATGGGTTTGCTTTTGTTGACTTCAATACGATTCTTTCTAACAACATCCTAGAGTAAAACTCTATTGGTTGGTTCTTTTAATATTAATTTTTCTTATATAACATCCTACCTTCTTTCTTTTTATTATAAATTCATAATTTTTATTAACTTAAGCATATGTTTTGTTGCTTTTGTAGATATTATTGGACACATTTTTGAATATGGGCATATGGACACCTCGGAACAAGATAAATCAAAACACAAAATGCTCATGCATCTTCAAGATATAGAGTATTCACCATTATTATAAACAAATAATATATTTTCTTTTAAATTATCTACATTATTTCTTTATTTTTTCAGGAATACTAAGCTTAAGGTAACTTTGTGGGGTCATAATGCATACTACATGCATGATTTTCTTGCTAACAATAACAACTTTGCTCCAATTGTTGTTATTGTTCAATTTACTAAAGTAATACCTTTCTTTTTTATCAATGAACAGATTGATATCTGAAATTAGAATCTACAAAAATAAGTATTATGATTTATAATTTCCTTTGTATTATCATATTTACTTATTTCATACTATAATAAATGTAATACCTTTCTTTTTTATCAATGAACAGATTGATATCTGAAAATGGACAACAACTTTCATCAAGTGGAATCAAGATGATTGCATCAAAACAAGAGACGGAACACGATGACTTTCTGAAAAATAATTTGTTTTCGAATATTGATGATGTGTTTGAACCTTTGGAGGTACTTTAGGTTATTTTGAAATTCGTTACTTTAATGCACTTTTATTTTTAAATTTTAAAAGTTTAAGAAACAAACATAGTATATTGTTATAATGAAACTAACATACAATGGCATAAACTAACATTTTCTTAACATTAAACATTATTTAAATTTCCAGGAAAAAACGGTCGTTATTGTTGGTACTGTTAAGGGAATACGTCAAAACATACGTTGGTATTACCTTGCTTGTAGCAACTGCAAAAAGTCAGCAAAACAAAAAGAGTCTTCTACTGATAAGGTTGATGGTTCTCATGAAGTGGCCGAAATCGTTACTTATGAATGTGCTAATCCTAAATGCAAAAATATCAAAATTTCGGTTATTCCAAGGTATTACATATTTATTTTATATAAAAACAATATATGTTTATCATAATTTTGTAATATAATATGATTTTATACTTTATTTAGATTTAAAATCTCACTTCGGGTTCAAGACAACACAGGAACCTTGACTTTAACCTTATTTGATCAAGAAGCAAAGAAGTTGTTTAAATATACAGCTAAAGAGTTGTATGATAAAAACAAGAAGGTATTATTTTATAGTTCTAAATTACTTCTTTATGTTATACAATTATATATTTATACACAAATTTTCTAACAATATTTATTTATATTTTAGCTTGGCATCAATTTGGATTTGTATCCAATGGAGTTGAAAGTTGTGGTGGACAAAAAGTTGGCAATTAAAATTGATATCTCAAGTTACAATGTCACTAATAAAAGTAATATTTATGGGATATCAAGATTAACCGATAATGCAGACATAATTGATGAACTGAAAAAAAAGAATATTATTCTACAGGTTATTTTCAACAATTATATTTAGTTTTTACCACTTTGACCCAACAATATCTGACTCAATAGCATTTTGTTTTTGATGTGATGATGTAGTCTGCTAATTCGAATTCATTCATGATTGGTTCTTCAGATATTGGTTCCCAAGAGACCAAAGTTGTCAAGGTTGTAGTTTTTAAATTATAATTCTGAAGTATTATGTTTTAATGTATATCAACTAACTAAATTGTTTTTCTAGGATTCTTTTTCATAGACAGGTGACAATTTAACACCTTGTGCTAGGGACAACTCAACTGCAACAAGTCCTACAAAGTTGATTTCTACACCAACTGAGTTGAAAAGAAACCTTGCTACATGCATAGATCTTGATGAAAAGGAGAATTTGTCAACATCTAAGTCTGCTCGATTGTCACCACCGGATGAACAACTAATGCCTCTTTTGGTCCCCAAGAAAGAAAAGTAAATGTATTTTACTTTTACAAATAATCTTACTTCATGGTTAATTTTGTTTCTGCATCATAGACTCTTACGCCATTTACATTTTTAGGTGGATTGGTTTAAATGGTTTTTGTTTGGGATTTGATGGTTTTTATATTTATTTCTTGAATATACATTGTGTTATTTTTTTCATTCCTATAATGTCGTTTACTATGTTATTTTGATTTTGGTAGAACCGATTTTATACAACATTGCTTTTATCTCCCAAATGACTATTATTTATTCAATATTGGATAATATAACATCTTATTATGACTTTATTCTTCATTCGAAAGTATTCATTAAGGAGTAAACATTAATCTAGGGATTAATACAATAAATAGCAATGTACTATCATTTATTTGTGTAGAAAAAATAAAAGTATCATGATATTAGGCATCAAATATAAACATTAAGTAATATTAGGTATTTGTTATTGAACATCACCAAAAAAAATCCTTTGATAATAACATTGTGTATTTCTAACTGTATTTAACTAAGTTATTTACCCATAATTTAGTTTTAAGGTTCTTCTACTTGATAAATTTATGTCTCCAATTCAAAATCCTATATGTACTTTTATTCGTTGCTGATTATATAGCAATGTAATTTTTGCCAAAAGAACTTTATTTTTACACTTATATCATGGATTGTTCAATGTTCAATTTGAAACGTAAATATTATACAATGCCTATATTGCCCATCCACTATCAAGATAGTCTTTAATCAATCAATTGTAGAATTTTGCATTATCTCTGTATTTAACAAACTTATTTACTAATAACTCACTTAAACAAATGTTAACATTGTCTATTCCATCAATCAAAATCAGTTAAATAGCAAATTACCTGTATCACGATTTGTGTAATTAAAATAACTATATGTTTTGTTTTTAAATCTTTTAAAATGCCTAAAATGCCCCTCCCACTATTAAGATAGTCTTATTTACTAATAACTCACCCAAATTGCCCTTAAAGTTTGATTTTGAATTTGTACATAACGTTTCTAAAAATGTTCTTCAAGTTCCTAATTTAGTTTTAAGGTTATTATACTTGATAAATTCATGTCTCCAATTCAAGATCCTATATGTACTTTTATTCGTTGCTGATTATAGCAATGTAATTTCTGCCAAAAAAACTTTATTTTTAATCTTATAAAATGCCTAAAATGCCCCTCCCACTATTAAGATAGTCTTTAATCAATTAAGTCAGATATTGGTTATGGATGCACTCTATGTTGTTCTTGATTTTTTCTAATTTCATATTCTGTACAATTAATGGCGTTTTACAAAATTTTAATTTAAGACTTTTATATTTAATATAAATAGTATTTGTTTGTATTTTAATTTAACAATGTTATATAACTATACAATAAATATACTTTTTATATTAGGCTACATAAAAAAAATATTTAAATGAAATAATTTTTTAAAATTTGACAGACTTACACAATATGATAAGAACTAAATATAATAATAATTAATCATTATACCAGCCGTCGTTCAACATGAACCTCCCCTATACCCTAGACGTAATCGGGATCGATGTGTTTACGGCGTGCGTCGATGTCTCTTCATCTCCAATTGATCATCCAATTAAACCTTCCCCGTATATGTAAACTCTCATTCTTGCATTTTCATCACCATCAAAAGATAACTTCGAATTTCTCATCCTCTATGAAAAAAAAATACGGCGAACAATGGCAACAAACATGAATGTCGATCAATGGGCAAAGCTGAGGTATCAACTATGGACTGTAAGCAGTGAGCAACCAAAAAACACACCGATTGTAGAGTATGGCAAAGGAAACGACAAGAGGTTCACCATTAGAGTTGTCCATGGCGGATATTTTACTGATTATCCAGGTAAAGCATATGAAAAAACAAAAGTTCACTTTATTACTTTTATCAACATCGATTTGCTTGACATGGATTTGCTTGGTAGTTTTTCTAAAAGTTTGGGTTATACAACTATGGGATATTGGTATCATATGCCAACTGAACAACATTCTGGTTTGTCAATGACTCCAATTTTGGATGATGATGCTTTGGGAAATTTCAAAGCAATGGTTAGGGTACATCAATTCCGTGAGATTGAAAATCTTTATGTGGAACACAAGCCAGTATATGTGCCAACCAATTTCCCCCACTTCATGATGAACTCACCAGCCAAAAGAGTTGAGAAGCTTATTCATCTCTTTGTAACAGAACACCCAATGTCAACAGTTGATGATGGAATAGCATACATCAAGCATATGCTAAACATGACCATTCCCAGAGGAAAGATGGAAGATGCAATAGACATGGCTAAAGAGAATGTTATTGCATGGAAAAACTTAGTGTAGGTAACTGTTATCTTTTTTTTTTTTTATGAAGTTACATATTTCATGGTTAAGACATTTAGTAATTATCTTTTGTATATTGGGTGTAATAGAACATCATAGTTTGTAACCACTTTGAAACTTATATTTTGTTTAATGAAATATATGATGTGTTTATATATTTTATGTTAATGCTCATGTTACTTTCGAGGTTTATCATTTTTGGAGCATAGTATCTTGGTAACTATGGATATTATATCACCAATAAAGATCTCATATATTGTTTTGTGTTGCTGATATCATGAACTGTTGGAATTAAACATAATATTAATTATATATAACTTTCAGAATCTAGAAAAAGTTAACCAAATATTTCGATCTTTTAAGATGTCTAAAATGCCTAAAATGCCCATCCCACTATTAAGATACTCTTAAATCAATTAATTGTGGAATTTGACTATGGATGCACTGTAAGTTGTTCTTGGATTTTTGTAATTTCATATTATGGACAATTAATGTCGTTTTACAAAAGATTAATAGAAGACTTTTATATTTAATTAATTTAATAAGTTATTTTGTTAATAATATCAGTTCACCTCCTTACAGTGAAGAAGAAATAGGAAAAAAACATTCCTTTTTTTATTAATTTCACCGATATTCATGGATGATTAACAACAATTTGTTTTAATAGTTTCAAATTTTCAAAACAAATTATCGTTCCCTCCACATAATTTCAAAATCAAAAGTTCAAACCTGAATTAAAAGATTATAAAATCCTAACCTTATTTTAATTCATTTCCTCTGGATCGTCTTTGCTTTGCCGATAGTAGCTGTGTTTTTTCGTTCTTGATTCATGTTGTCCTCTCCAGTTGACGATTACAGGTAAGCAAATCTTTATTTCTGAAAAATTGAAATTTCCAGTTAATATTGAAATCGATTTGGAATACACCTTCGCCTCCGGTCCCCATTTTTCTTACCTTAACACATCTTTGACCTTGTAAGTTTAAAAGATCGACACAACAAACGAATAAGCTTTAACCCAACTATTTGTTTTCCTTCTTCGTTTCTATCTATACATACAAGTCCGACTGTAATGCGTCTTTGTGTTTCAGACTAACCTAAACGTTTGTTTTATCTTTAAGTAAATAAAATTCCAATTTATGCTCCATGTTTAAGTAAATATACGTAAATGGTCCCTGTTTAATAATAAATGACAACTAACTTCTATATTAACTTGTGAATCATTAACAAAAATTTATGTACATTTTGTTTACTCATATGTTTTTTAATATAAATAGTATTTGTTCACATTTTATTTTATAAATGTTATATAAATATACAATAAATATACTTTTTATATTAGGGTACATAAAAAAATATAAAATATATAAATGCAATCATATTTCAAAAATTGACCCACTTAAAGAATATGATAAAACAAATTGCAATTATATGTCAAATATTTTCATAATATTAGTTTATACTTTATTTTGCTTTAATTTAATCATACTCTTTAATGTTTATCATATTATCTTATAAATTAATTGTTGTTATTTCTTCAGATTCCAGATATATCATGAAGTCGTTTAATTCTAAAAAGAGTAGAAAATTAAATAGTTTTTATTTAGATAATAGAAATAACATTAATTTGTCTACTAAATCAAGCCGACAAACTTCAACAGCTACAAATGCACTTGATACACCTTACAACGGTATGTTTGTTCTTTAACATTTTTTTTTATATTTTTGTTACACATTTTTAAGCTCTAAATATATCTTTTAATAACACAAAAATATCACATGAATTATTTTCATATTATATAATTACAAAGTTTTATAAATTCTATATATTTTAAAAATATATTGTTAAATCCATATTTAAATAAATATATTATCATCTTGAAGCAATTTCATAATCAAACAATAACATGTATTATTCTAACAATAATCTTTATTAACATAATAAGAAAAACCAAAAAAATTGCCTACTTCATCGACCACGGAAGATTCATCATTTGCAACATTTGTTAACAACGGTTACAAAGGTACATTTCTTTCTTCACTATTATTATTATTATTTATTATATATTAATATGAAAAATTTAATTTTAACCAAATTTCAATCATTTATTATATTCAGTTTTATATCAGACACAATTATTTACACTCATATACATTTTATATCATATACTTTTTATTCGTTATACAATAACAAATGATTTTATGTACTACTTGCAAGCAAAAGAGAAAAGAAGACAGAGAAAATTATATTTGGATAACAAGAGATCGAAGAAAAAGAATACAAAATCCAGTGTTCAAAATCGATGTGGAACACATGTCTTAACACACACAGATATTTGTAATTTTCCTATTTTATTTTTTTAATTTTCACCATTCATATATCTATATAAAAAATACATACATTATCATCATTTTTTATTATTTCAATGTACTAATATAAAATTTACATGCTAATTTAATTTTATAATACATGTCTTCAATTTTTTTAACAATTTGTTTTTTACAGATCAATCAAAAAACGTTGTTTGTGAAAAAGAAAATGCCCGTTCCTATAAATCCCGTGGAAACCAAAATACACCCCTACAATCATCTTTTTCATATATAAATGTTAGAACTCCGTTATCTAACATTTCAAATGATAATAATTTTGCTTTTCAAAATTATCTTTCAACCACTTTCTAACATTTCAAATGGTAATAATTTTACTATTTTTTTTCCAGCCAATAGTAGTTTCAATAACTACACAACTTCAACGTTACAAAATAATAGACATTACTCTGGACTTTGTAATGGTATGACCTCGAGAAATGCATCTACAATAACTGTTTCTTCATCGTCAATCAAGTTAAATCCAGGATGTCATAAATTAAAAAGGAAGTTGGAAAATTTATCTCCTATTCCATTTATTGACTTGACAACAGATGTAGAAAATATGCATGAAGTCATTACTGAAAACCAAATAATTGGTATTTCCAAAGGTAATCCATATATATATACCCATTTTCTTTTTCTTTTACAACTCAAATACTGTATTATAACTGTTTATGAAATTCAATATTTTGCTTATACATCTTTATTTTATTACAGAATATTTGGATCATGGTGATCAAATTGTGGTATGTCAAACATGTCATGCAAAATTATGGAAAAATGAATTCATTAGAGGAAAAGAAAGAGGAAACACAGATTATTCATTATGTTGTGGTTATGGCAATGTTCAACTTCCATATTTAAAGAACGCACCACCAACTTATGAAAGAATGTTTCGAGGAACGGATTCTAAAAGCAAAAAATTTATGAAAAACATTCGACGTTACAGTTCAATGTTTTCTTTTACGTCGATGGGTGGTAAAATTGATTCTTCAATCAATAGAGGAAATGCTCCATACATTTTCAGACTTGGTGGTCAAAATTATCATAGTATTGGAAGCCTTTTACCACCAGATGGATCGCAACCAAAATTCTCTCAGTTATACATTTATGATACGGACAACGAAAATTCAAATAGACAGAGATGTTTTGGGTATATTTTCAACCTTCTTATTCATAGTTAATTTTGATATTTTTTTTGTACTAATATTATGTATATTTTCAATTTTTATAGTGGGGAAAAGCATCAATCTACATTAATCGATAATGATATTATTGAAGATTTGAAGTTGATGTTAGATTCAAATAATGTATTGGTTAGCTCTTATAGGATGGTAAGAGATATTTAAAAAAATATCCTCAAGTTGATATGAAGTTAAAAATCATCGGCAGAAGAGATCGAGATGGAAGGACATATAACCTACCAACTGCTTCTGAGGTTGCCGCTTTAATTATAGGTGACATTTCTGATTCAGTTGAAAATAGAGATATCGTTGTTGAAACTAAGTCGGGATTTCTACAGCGTATCGGTGAATTTCATCCTTCTTACCTTCCTCTCCAATATCCGCTACTATTTCCATATGGAGATGATGGTTACAGCGTTGATATTCTTCATAGAGGTGTTACATCTACAACAAACAACAAGCACGCAAACTGTACAATGAGAGAATTTTTCGCTTTTAGAATTCAAGACAGGGATCATTCGTTCTCACTTATTCTTAATTCAAAAAGGTTATTTCAAACAACTTTTGGTAGATGCTTATACCATGATTGAAAGTGAGAGATTGTATTACATACGTAGGCAGCAACATGTTCTTAGATGCGAGTCTTATGAGAATTTACGTAACCAAAAAGCTCAAGGAACTACAGATATCTCCAATGTCGGCCAACGTGTAATATTACCTTCATCTTTTACTGGTGGTGCGCGCTATATGTTGTAGAACTATTTGGATGCCATGTCGTTATGTAAATGGTTTGGATATCCTGATTCCTTCATAACCTTTACGTGTAATCCCAAATGGCCAGAGGTTAAAAGGTTTCTTAAAGATACTTCACTTCAACCAGAAGACAGACCTTATATACTATGTAGGTTGTTCAAGATCAAACTTGATGCATTTATTAAAGACTTAAGGGAGAATCACATTTTTGGCATAGTTCAAGCAGGTATTTGAAATAATGTTTCTTCATAATTGATAAAAGTTTATGTTATTTATTATATATTTATTATATTTTTCATTACGGTATAATCATATTTGATTTTTGTGCAAAATATTATGCAGAATTTCAAAAAAGAGGTTTGCCCCATAGTCATATATGTCTATTTATGCATTCTGACTACAAGCTACCTACTGTTGAATTTATCGATCCAATAATTTCTGTTGAGATACCAAACATAGATGAAGATCCATAATTGTATTCTCTTGTGAATGAGTTCATGATTCATGGTCCATGTGGCGCTGAAAATATCAATTGTCCTTGTATGGTCGACAAAAAGTGCTCGAAAAACTTTCCAAAACAATTCTGTAATCATACGTCTGTTGATCAGAATGGTTTTCCATTATATAGGAGAAGAAACGATGATCATTTTGTTGAAAAATCGGGTGTGAAGTTGGTTAATAGAAATGTTGTCCCTTACAACAAATATCTATTGAAAAGATATCAAGCACATATTAATGTTGAATGGTGCAATCAGGGTTCTTCTATAACGTATTTATTTTATACATAAACAATGGACCTGATAGAGCTACAGTTGGCATTGTACGAAGCAATAACGAGTGTGATACTAATGATGCGGTTGATGAAATAAATGAGTACTACGACTGTAGATATTTATCTGCATGTGAAGCATCATGGCGAATTTTTAAATATGATGTTCATTACAGGTATCCTTCTGTGGTTAGACTGCCTTTTCATCTTCCTGGTCAACAACAAATTATATATGGGGAAGACGATGATATTGACGATGTTCTGGACAAACCTTCTGTTGCTTCTTCAATGTTCACAACTTGGATGGAGTGTAATGCATTTAATGCTGATGCACGGAAACTTACGTATGTTGAATTTCCTACAAAGTTTGTTTGACAACGTGGTGATAGGATTTGGAAGCCACCAAAAGTAGGAAAGTGCATTGGTAGAATTCATTCGGTTTCACCTAATCTAGGTAAAGCTTATTTTTTAAGGATATTGTTAAATAATGTGAAAGGTCCCAAATCATTTGAAGAAATACGCACAGTAAATGGTGAAGAATATTCTTCTTTTAGAGATGCTTGTTATTCTCTTGGTCTCTTGGATGATGACAAGGAATACATCGATGCAATCAAAGAAATGATTCATTCTGGATCTGGTTTTTACCTACGATTCTTATTTGCTACATTGTTGATGTGTAACAATATGTCTAAACCAGAGGTTGTTTGGGAAAACACATGGGAATATTTGGCAGATGGAATTCTTTATAACCAACGACAGAGATTCAAGTCTCCAGGTATTAAACTTTATTATTATTATTATTTATTAAATTGTCAATTATTTATTTTTAAACATACATTAATTAATATTTTAATTATAATACAAATATTGTTAATAATATTTCAAATTAATTTGCTCTTTCTCCTACAAACTTATCACTTAATGAAGATCAACTTAAGAACTTAACTTTGTTCGAGATAGAACAAATTTTACTTCGGAACAACTTGAGTCTAAAAAATTATAAAAACATGCCTATCCCGGATGTTTATTATGTTTCTTCTTTAAACAATCGACTTATGATCGAGGAGCTAGATTATGACATTCCCATTATGAAGACTGAGTTTGATCGTATGTTTCTTGCATTGAAAAATGAGCAGCGTCACATTTTCCTTGATATCATGACTGCAGTTAAACAAAATAAAGGAGGTGTCTTCTTTGTTTATGGTTATGGTGGAACTGGTAAAACTTTTTTATGGAAGACAATATCTGCAGCTATTATAATAGATGGTCATATTGTTTTAAATGTTGCTTCAAGTGGGATTGCTTCACTATTATTGCCCGGAGGTAGGACAACACACTCTCGATTTGTAATTCCATTTGAACTAACAAAGGATTCTGTTTGTAGAATAAATCGAGGTAGTGACCCTGCTATCTTATTGAGAAAAACCTCATTGATAATTTGGGATGAAGCTCCTATGGTCCATAAGCATGCATTTGAAGCTTTAGATCGAAGTTTGAAAGATTTATTTAGGTCTGAAAATTCTACCAACTCAGATATTCCGTTTGGAGGGAAAATTATTGTTTTTGGAGGAGATTTTAGACAAATTCTACCTGTTATTCCAGGTGGAAGTAGACAAAACATTGTTAATGCTTCTTTAAGCTCGTCATATTTATGGCAACACATAAAGATCCATAAATTAACAAAAAACATGAGACTAACTGTTGGAAGGGATCAATCTGATATAGAAAAAATCAGAGATTTTGCAAAATGGCTGTTGGATATAGGAGAAGGAAAGCTTGGTGGCAACGATGGAGAAACGGTTATTGATATTCCAGATGATATTCTCATTAATGATCCACATGATCCCATAGGTTCATTAATCGACTTCGTATATCCTTCAATTTTGGAAAAGTACAACAATACAAGCTATTTTCAAGAAAGAGCAATACTTGCTCCAAAAATGAAGTGGTTCAGGAAATAAACGACCGTTTGCTATCGAAGTTTCTAGGAGATGAGGTTGAATATTTAAGTTCATATAGTATATGCCAATCTGAATTTGTTCATGATCAGTTTGATGCAAATTTATATTCACCTGATGTTTTAAATGGCCTGAAAGTATCGGGTTTACCAAACCATAAGTTAGTTTTAAAAATTGGTGTTCTCGTTATGTTGCTGAGAAATATTGATCAGAAAAATGGATTGTGTAATAGGACAAGATTCCAGGTGATATCATTGGGCAAACGTGTTATTGAGGCACGTATCATATCTGGAACTAATATTGGAAACCGCACTTTTATTCCAAGAATGTCATTAACTCCATCAGAAAAGAAAATTCCCTTCAAATTCCGAAGAAGACAGTTTCCATTGGTTGTATGTTTTGCAATTACCATAAATAAGAGTCAGGGACATTCGTTATCGAAGGTTGGTTTGTTTCTCAAACATACCGTCTTTTCACATGGCCAATTGTATGTTGCCTTATCTAGAGTTCAAAGCAGGGAAGGATTAAAATTGTTAGTTTTAGATAAGGATGGTAGTCTCACAAATAAAACTTCCAATGTCGTTTATAAGGAAGTTTTTGGGAGTTTATAAGAACCGTTTTTCTACCATCTTTTATTTTGTTTTCGTGTATCACACTTCATCCATCATATTAATTAATTAATTTATAATACTTTATTGTATTTGATTTATTCATGTTAATTACATTACAATATCATAATTCTTCATTATTTCTAAAATTTGATATCTTTTTATTTACACTATCAAAAGTATAATTATATTTCAATTTTTAAACCGTGGAGTTCCACGGGTTTAAACCTAGTTATCTTTATATTAAAAATCATAATTTTAATTTGTATACCCTTGTTTGTATTTGATTCCATGGATAAGGGTACATAAATTTTATTGTGCACCCTCTTAATCTAAACCGTTAATACAATAATCCTACAATTATATGTGGTTCTATGGTTCTATGAGCTTGTGTTGGTTCTACAATGATCCTTTATATATATATATATATATATATATATATATAGATATATATATATATATATATATATATATATATAGTAAGCAACGCTCTTCGACAACGACAACTTGACTACTCCAAGAGCCTGCTGGTCTAACAGATCCCAAAACTGTAACAACCCAAATTTTCAAATAAAAATTTTCATTTAAATATTAAAACCCATGCTCATTAATTATAAATTCCAATCATAATTTACTTCTTAAAAATCCATTACATCAGTTAATTATTCAAAAGATCAGAGTGTCCATAATAAAATGCTGGAGAGTGCGTGATGCGCCATCATGTCGAGCCCTTGCCCTTTGATCCAGAAGTACCTGAAATTAAGCACTTGGAATGCTAGTTACTTCTTGTATTCTTGAGTGTCTAAAGCCTTTAAGTGCTTAACTCAATTAAGCACTAAAGGGAACAACTCAAGAGGTCTTCTAAACACCAAAGTAAGGCACCAAACTTCAAAGGTTTGGTGCTTTTTCAGCTCACGGTTTTTAGAGAGAAAAGAAGGGAAGAAGAAGATGAAAACTTGCACATTTCTCATACATAAGACACTCTTATATAGTCCATGAGAGGTAAGGCATTACCATTAAAATAATATAAAGTAATGGTAGCCTTTAGAAGAATGGGAGACAAAAGGTGGAAGGTTGAAAAAGCAACCTCCCACACCATCATTATGTTTTGGCTCATGCCTTTTAAAAAGTAAGATTCTTTATTTTTTATAAACTCCAAGTTTATAAAATATAAACTTTGTCTTTAGGTAAAAGATAAAAGAATCCAACTAGTCCAAAATTTTGTGCATGATGATGTGTGTAAAACCAACTAGTTTTAATCCTACTAACTTAAACACAAAGACAAACACACTAAAGGCAGTGTACCTATCGATTAGCAGTTTCGTTCAGGTAAGTAGGGTATCGAATACAGGGAACGGTAAACAATTAAAATAAATGCTAATATTATCTAAATAAAATAAGTAATAGAAAGGGGGTTTTCTCTAGTTTTGCAAGACTAGAAACTTAAACAATTAACTAAAACTTAAACTAAGAAACTAAGAGATAAGAAAATAAAAATCAACTAAATCCAATAATTAAGGAGACTTCTGTTTAGGTTCGAATCATTTATTCCTATGGTTGATTTTATGACAAGTGCAATGGATTAATTGGCATTGGCTACCGATTAGTGTGATTAGGTTCACGTTCGCTATTACTAATCCTTAGAAAACAAATTAATTCAAGCAGTGATCAAGTGATTAAACTAATAAATTCCCTAGTTTAATTATTCGGGTTAAATAAGACTTATAATTAGCTAATTAAATTGGTGATTCAATTAGCCTCTTCTTGATGGTGTATCACACAAGCTCACATATTAATTTACCCATTCTCTAGTTAATCCTAGTTTCATATTCACTATTCCTAGGCATATAGCAATGTGTTCACATAAATCATATGAGATAAGCAATTAAGAGATGTTCATGCAGCTTAATTACTTAGCTATTAACAAAAAATAGTTATGGTTAATGCATAAGGTTCTTTAACAAGCTTAATAAAACAAGTTCACCAAATTAAATTAATCCAACCACAAAATCAAACCATAATCACAAAATCATCTACCTAAACAGAAAGTATGAGTTTTAGCTCATGATTACAGCAGAAACAAGCTCAAAAACGAAATCAATTGGTAAAAACATAGTTCAAAAAAGAGATTAGGGAAAGAGTAAACTTGATTTTGCCTTGATTCTCCTTAAAATTGAATGTAGGGTTGATTCCTTTGCTTCCCACGCTCCAGCAACACCTTTAGTCGACAATTGGCCTCCAAGGGTTCATCTATCTGCTATGGTATCGGGCAGGAATGCCCTTTATATAGATTTTTGAAAAAATAGAGGTGAGTCGTCGAGTCCAGTGACCTACTCGGCGAGTCCGTCACTTAAAACCCGTGTACGGCAAGTCAGCGACTCCAGAATCGCGAAAGTTCGACATGACTCGTCGAGTTGAGGCCCAACTCGTCGAGTCCGTTTGGAATCAGCATTTTCTCAAAGCACGAAAGTCGTCCGAAATTGTGACTAGTTATCAGAACATTTTAAATCTCGTCAATCGGAGTTACGGTTCATGAGATACGGCCAAAACACTGATGAGGGGTCAAGCTGTCCAGCAACATCCTTCTTTCTTCAAAATCCAAGATCCAAGCCTCCAATCGCTAGTTCCGCTTCCTTTTCCATCCGAGCATGTCATTGTTGCTGAAAAATGAAATTATAATCTAATTAAGCACCTTTTGTTCATTAAATGAGACAGAAACAACATAAAGTATTCAGATAATGCATGAATTTTATAACTAAATATGCCCATATCAAAATACCCCACACTTGACTTTTGCTTGCCCCCAAGC